ACACATCACTATCTATAACTTTTATTTTGATCATCTTTTCATTTGATAAAATTTGAACAGTTCAAATTTTGAATTTCAATAAATGGCAACTTCAAGAAAGATTTTGAAACATTAAATGATTTCAATTATAAAAGTCGTGAACATAAAAGTTGTTGAACTCATCACTGTTTACAACTTTTATTTTTGTCACTTCTTCATTTGATAAAGTGTTAGTAAACATTGTTCACAAATTCATATATCACTCATAATTTCATGAACTATATGAGAGACATGTTGATTTGTGAATAATATTTACTATCGCTTTGTCAGATGAAGAAATAACCAAAATAAAAGTTGTAGATCTCGATGAGTTATACATCTTTGGTATTCATCATTTTTTCAGCTGAAATCATTTGGTGTTTCAAATTTTTGTTAGAACTTGTTATTTTTTTAAATTTGAAAATTTGAATTACTCAAACTTAGTCAAACCAAAAGAATGATCAAATCAACTCAGTAACTTGATAGGGCATGATTTTAGAAAATTTTAGGAAAAAAATCGTCACATTTAGAGTTAGTACGAGGAAGAAAGACTAGTTACAAATTTTACCAGAGATTAAAAAAAATCACAACTGTTCATGGTGATCAATGATGAACAAGTGTGATTTGTAGGAGCGACTGGTGATTGAGCCGCCCCTACAAATCGCAACACCGGGGGTGGCCGGTGAGTGAGCCGCCCCTACAAATCTACCCATTTGTAGGGGCGGCTCGTATCATCAGTCGTCCCTACTGTGCCATTTGTAGGGACGACTAGTCTCGTGGGTCCCGAGCATGCCCACTGTAGAGACAGCTCCATCACCAGCCGCTCCTAAAAAAAAATTATCCTGTTGCTACAAATATTTTTTAATAGTGTATGTACATATAGTAAGCGAACTTCGTGTATCTACATGTATACATATACTCTCATTTTTGTAAAAAAAAAGTATGTCAGGCTTGTTTCTTTTTTCAAAAGAGCATTTTTCATACTCAATTTTTTTGGCAAAAGTACTAGTTCATACTAGTTTTTCCACCTTGTAGTATGTATTAGTGTATACTCGATTATTGTGCATGTAGTATGTGCACATACGTACGTACTCCAGGTATCAAAACTACATAATTTTTAATATGACTTTGTAGTATGTGTATACATACTCTATTATTGTACGTGTATGTGCACATACTCTTATTAAAAAGTATAAACGCATACTACTGTACATATATATGGACATACTACCTAGCACATATCCACACATACTATACTTGTCTTCGGGTATATGGACATACTCTCTAAAAAAGTATGAACGCATGCTACCGTATATACATATACTTGCCAAAAATGGTATACACTATCCCTATGCGTAATAAACAATATTTTTATATGTGGCATGAAGCCATCACCTGAAATCTAGGAGATAAGTTCCCATGCATGCATACGTTTTGAAAAGGTGCGACGGTGGGAGGCTGTAGCACCTGACTAATGGATCCATGGTTGCTTTCAAACCGGATTAGAGGAGGGAGTAACTATTCCGACAGTATAGAAAACTCACCCTTATTATATATAATATACATAGCTCGTCGTACATACCAACTTCTTGCCTTGACTGCTTGCCCCAGAACACGCAGATCCTCTTGAACCTGCTACTGGACTGCATCACCTTCCTCCAGGTCGTCCCAGTCGCTGTCTTGGTGGTTTCTCTAGTCTCCGCACCACGTCATCCACATGTGTCAGACTGTCTCAGCAAAGAACTTATATGGACACCTAAACCTAAAATAGATAGCAAGAGACTCAAAATTAGTCTCCAACAAAGTACCTATACGAGAGATCTATTTTAGGTTGTCTGAGAGGCTAAACATAAATATGGACATCCTCTCTCCTGGAAACCCATTTGTAAAAAAGACTCTCTTTTGAGTCTTATGTTGGAGAAGATGCCAAATAGGTATTGAATTTTTTGACATATAGCGCTATCAAAAAACGAATAAGTCTTTGTATTTTTTGTGTCGTTGTTAGAGATAGCCTTATATGAAGCCTACTTTATTAGATGGGATGGGACACTGGGAGGCCGGGTAGCCCTGACGCGCCATACACACACATAGTACAACCGGAGTACTACTGCTCTGTTCAGCTTACTTCATATTCGATTTATTTGGTTTTTTTTTCGTCAGAATAGTGTTTTTCTCTCACAACAATTCAAGAACAGTGTTTTTCAGTCAAGTTTCAGACCAGCGAACGAGGCCTACGACGTATGCGAATGCGTGCGGAGGATCGGGACAGGGTATACTAGGCAACAGATTGCAGGAGACGTGGAGGACGATGGTTTTTTCCGGCGCCTAAGGGCCTGTTGTCTCAAAAAAATTTGTGCAGTACCTGTCACATCGAATTTTACGATACATGCATGGACTACTAAATGTAGAAGAAAAAAAACTAATTGCATAGTTGGGTGAGAAATCGCGAGACGAAACTTTCGAACCTAATTAATCCATAATTAGACACTAATTGTCAAATACAAACGAAAGTGCTATCATAGTTAAAACCCAAAAATTTTTGCATCTAAACGCGCCTTAAAACTGATTTGGTGTGTCAAGCTGACAGGACTGTGGGCGAGTTGTTCGGTGCGCGTCGCGGTTGTGGTTTTCATTTCGGATTTTTGGGCCGGGTTGCTGCCCCTGGTGCCCAGCCCGACGCACGTGTCGTGGCCTAGTGGGCTGCGATGCGATCCGTCGTGCTGGGGTTTCCTTCTTTTCTTGTTTGTGGCGGCCGTGGGTCCTCGGGCTCGGGTGCAGCAGCGGTGAAGGAATATCAATCACTTAACGAGAAAGATCGTTATTAGCTATTGGAAGCTAGAGGTGCCTTAAGTAATTTATCCATCCCAAATTGTAAGACGTTTGACTTTTTTAACATCAAGTTTGATCATTCGTTTTATTCAAAATTTTGTATAAAATATCACTTCTTTCGTCGTGGTTTGGTTTATTAATAAAAATTCTTCAAGAATAACTTAAATTTGACTATATTTGCACAAATTTTTTGAATAAGACGAGTGGTCAAACTTGGGGCTAAAAAAAGTCAAACGTCTTACAATTTGGGATGGAGGGAGTTATTTTTAACGGTGAGTTTCAGGACACAGATATTAAGCATAGCTCACAACAGCTACCAAACGCTCATTTCCAAAACAACTTCATAGGTGAAACTATTTTTCTCCTCCTCTCACAAAAATATAAGTTGGAATAAAGTTAAAAAAGTAGTTTATTCCAGCTCTCTCCCTCATTTCTCTCTCTTTTGTCATGCATGAAGTTGTTTGTGAAACTGTTTTGCCAAATAGTTTTTCCAAAACAGCTCAGGTCGCTCATGAAGTTGTTTTCAAAAAAAAAAACCCAGCTCTACTAGTGAAGCAAACGGGGCCTAAAAATGTCACATTAGCTTTTGATGACAACAGGTTTTATCTAGATAAAACTCTGTTTATTTCTCTTTTTATAATTAACCAAAGTCATCAAATTTGCTGATGTATTATAATATAAAATGCAAATCAAAACCTAGATGAAACCCCAGCCTTATTTACCGCCGGAAAACTTTTCTTTCTGTCATCAACGCAAACTTTCGTGCCTAAAATAAGCTATTTGTTGATCAAGCATGCTGATATGTAACTTTGATTTCCAGATCAAGTAGGTGAAAGATCAATCCAGTAACATGCATTAGTTCCGTGCCTAAAATAAGCTATTTGTTGATCAATCCAGTAATATAAAGTAACATTATTAGTCATTATTTTCAACAATTTTAATGGTACATATTATGTATCATTGGTCATATTAATCGAAATTAGCATAATTAGCTACATTAAGTTATGCATTAGTTGTATAAAACTAATGGTACATATTAGTAATATTATAAAATCAATACTACTCCCTATGTTCCAAAACTAAGCGATGTTTTAGGTTTGTCCTAAGTCAAATTATTCAAAATTTGACCTTTAGAAAAGATCAATATTTATGACACCAAATTACCGAATAGGTAGACTATAAAAATGTATTTCATGATAAATCTAATAATACTTATTTGGCATTATAAACATTAGTATTTTTTGTATAAATTTGGTCAAACTTGAAATGGTTTGACTTAGGACAAACCTAAAATATCACTTATTTTGGGACGAAATATATACTTTATTCTTCACAGACTCAGATGTTATTGGATTTTTGAATACAAATCTAGATCAACATAAAACAGATTTGGCATTATAAACATTAGTATTATAGGACCGATAAACATTGACCAAAGTCGAGAGCTGAGTATCAAATTGTATACATACTATATATATATATATTATATAGACACAATATAGCAAGCATCAAGACTACAAATAGCAAGTCACTTACTTGTGGGACTTGCCTTTTAGTCATTGTCCCAAACTCCATTCCTTTAAGCAGAGGTGTCAACAGTAATGGGCAACAAGCTCTGGAGGTAGCTTTGTCACCTAGTGTTGCTTCATTCTTCACAGACTCAGATGTTATTGGATATTTTGAATACAAATCTAGAATTAGACAGAAAACAACAGAAAACAGATTTGGATACATCTATTTAATATCCATATTAGAAACAAATATGAATACAGACATTCATATTACAAGTTTTAGCAAATATAGATTCGGGTATTTCAGATTTACAGACATCCATTTACACCGTTAAGCAAGAAGACCTACACGGATGAGAGGCAAGGAAATATCTACCATTTACACCCGACCGAGTTGGAGGCTTTCGACACATGTATTATGACTCTTATGTTACAATCAAAGGAAACATGTTTTTATTAGAGAAATAGAGAGCAAAAAAAACTGGTCTGCTTCCTGGAGAGAACACCTCCCGGGGGTGTATAGAGGCAGATCGCTAGCATATCTGACACCAATAAAAATAAATTCAAATAATAGTAAAGTGCCAAGATTGTGATCAAAGGCCACAAGTGTTGTAAGACAAATGATTAACCCGACTCGAATGTTCATTTTTTGATATGGCACTCAACGTTTTTCAGCCATCTGATAAGTTCAGTATGCTCCTTGTTTTCCATGTACGCATGCAGAAATGCAGCAAGGTCATCATTCACTCCAATTTGCTCCAGATAATCTTGCACCGCGCTTTGCATTTCCTCATCTAACTCACTGCTCACCAGAACAAACAAATTAATTATCAGTATATGCCCCCAAAAAGAGGGAAAAGTCTCCCATATTGGCACGAAAGAAGCAGATTTGTCGGGAATAAAGAGCAATTAAATCAAAATGGCAATGAACAAGGTCCTATTGGTTCATGCTCAGATTTTACGTTAGTCAGCCCGTCGTAGATAATTTCTGTAATGAACAGAACTTGTGATAAAACAAAAGGACCTGTGATAAATAGTTTCTCCTTGTTGCGTCTAACAAGTTAGCACTAGTCATTTTTTCAAATAAAACACATATTTGGGTATTTTCCACAGAATACATACCATTTCCTTTTGCAAACAAAAGGCAAACACATTTGACATTTTCCTCAACATTTCCTGAACATGAATTGGGAATGGAAAGGGATTCCGACCATTCCCGTCCTCAAGTACTTGACCTATTTCATCAATGATCGACCACACGTCCACACCATGGTTAGTTCAATAAAAATAGAACTAAGTGGCACATTTTGATCACTAGCAAGGCGAGTATCAACACCCTAAAAGCAGCAATTGCGAGTAACGTAGCAACCAAAAATTTGTCAAAATTTAGAGATGTTCATGATTTCCATCATATAGTATCACCTGAATTGGCGGCCGACGTACTGCTGCACTGGCGCAGGCCCACCACGGCGGACGAGAAAGACCCTCCGCACCTCCATCTCGTCGGGCCACGCGGAGCACTCGAAGGTGAGCGCCATTCCAGGCCGCGCGGCCTTGGAGACCTCGACCTTGACGCTGATGTGCAGCCTGGGCGGGCCGCCCGTGTCCGCGCCCGAGCGGGAGGGAGGGAGCGCGCCGTCGACCAACGTGGCGTCCACCCTGACCTCCTCTTCCTCCCCCTCGGCCGCAGGGAACACGCGGCGCAGGCGGGCCCACTGCTCGCCCGGGCGGTCCTCGACGGTGAATGGAGTAGGGGGTGGGGGTGACGGTGGTGGGGCGAAGTTATTGAGAGAGGAGATCTCGGAGCGGAGGAGGCGGTCGACGAAGGCAGAGCGGCGCATGTCAGAGATGTAGGTGCGAGTCCCGAAGAGGTGGGATGGGAGCGGGAGCGTGCCGAGGTGGGGACGAAGGCGGAGCAGCCGCCGCGCCAGCGCCATAGCGACGCTCGTCGGCGGCGGGGGTCGGAGATTTTGATGGGGTTTTGAAGGGCAGCCGAAGGGAAGGGAAGCGGAGCCGCCGAGCCGGTTTCGCCTTTTGGTGGATCGTAGGAGTAGTGGAAAACGGGCAGGCCCAGTTTTTGCAGGCCAGAATGGCGGAACTAAACGAGCTTGTTCTCGTGGGCTGTCCTGGATCAGAAGTGTGTTTGGTTCACGGCCGCGGCGACGGAGGAGGCGAGGACGGGGTGGTGGCGTGCAGAGCTCGGACGACCGGGTCACCGGGAGAGGGAGGGCGGGCGGGCGGCCGTGGAGGAGGGCGAGCTATCCATATGGGTGCCCTGGCCGCTGGAGCCAGTGCAGGTAGCCAGGTACAGCCGTACAGCCTCTCTCATCTGTCATCTCCCCCAAATCGATTTCACAGCACATCCACGGAGACATGCCTCAACCGGTCCTCCCCAAATTCTCTGACCTGACGTGACATTGACGCTGATGGAGGCATCCATTGGTGTACAATCAGTTAATCAACACCTGTCCGTACAATTGTCTTCGTTCTAATATGCTTGTGCAGCTTCGTGGTTCAAAAGAAATTGCTGTATTAGTAATTCATTCGGCCATGTTTGTTTGGTTTATAAGTCGTATTTTTTAGCCAATGAATAATATTTTTCTCTCATAATAAATCAGCCAATGATACTTTCGGTCATGGTTAATCAGCCAAGTGAATAGGGCAATTGAACGAACTACTTAATGGTCCCGTTCGTTGGTCTGAAACTTGGCTGAAACTGGCTGAAAACACTGTTCCGGCTGAATTATTGTGAGAGAAAAATACTGTTCCGGCTGAAAAAAGAAGTCGAACAAGCCGAATATAGGGTAAGCCGAACAGGGCCATATGGTTCAAAATAGTGACCTGGCTAACACTGATTTTTCACTATATGTGTTTTTATGAGATCTGCTGTGGGATCGACAATACCTGTTAGACAACTAACAAAATGGCAGGTAAAAAACCATTCCAATTAGTCTCTATGGAATGCACATATATACATATGCATAATACTAAGCTTGACAGGTTCATTTTTCCTGCTCATGCCATTGCACTCTAAGTCCCTGTACGAGAACAGCCTGATGAACCCCATACCTGCTACTTTTATATATTAATGGCTGATTCTTCTCCTTTCTTCTACAGCTGAGCATCTCCTCTGTTTTTTTCCTTGGCCTCATACGCGACACACAAATATCTTATGCAATGTTTTAACTAATCATTTGTATGCATGCCAATAGCCACTTTGATGACGATCAGCTTCAAATGAACATTGGACATAGCATTGGCACATCAGATGGAAGTTGTTCAGCAAAGTATAGATAACAATACCAATACCATGGTGGTAATCTCGCTTACTTCTTTTTCATCTCACTTTGTTCCACCTGTATATCATGGTTGCTTTCAACAGTTGGAAGGTTTTCTCTGCACAAGGCTTGCTGAATCAGGCATCCCCAAACCAAGTACATCATCTGCCCTCTCGACTAAATATCATCCCATGTCTCTGAAACGCTCCATGAAACTTACTTTTGTTACATGACATGATCCTACGACATCCTATTTTTGGACAATATCCATAAATAGAGACAGCCTATTTGTTGTTGAATTTATATTCCTAAATATCTGTTATAGTTACGCCGCATTGCAAGTCATATAAATGTGCAATTGATTGGGATTTTTACATCCGAATCAACCTTAGAATTGTGTGCACTTAGACCAAATATGGTTATTAAGGCATCTTTGGCATCCAAAAAATTTGTTTAGAGGTTTATGCAAACATAGTTTTCTTCTCAAGTACTGCAGCTGTAGCCATTCAATTTTGCAGATCTGAAAGCCTTGCTATCATGCCCAGGCTTTTAACTCTGACCTACAATATTTCTATTCGCTACCGATGCTTGTCAAGTACTGCAGCTGTAGCCATTCAATTTTGCAGATCTAAAAGTCTTGCTATCGAAGGGCGGGCCTGGTGCAAGCGGTAGAGTCTTACCGTCTATGGTTCCGGATTTGAGTCGTGGTCTCTTCGTATTGCACAGGCTAGGGTAAGGCTTATCACTGACACCCTTTCCCAGACCCCGCACAGAGTGGGAACTCTCTGCACTGGGTGCGTCCTTTTGAAAGTCTGTCATTCCCAGACTTTTAACTTGACCTACAATATTTTTATTCGCTACAGATGAACTTTTAAAGAACCTTACAGTGTTCAACATTAGCTGTTGCGGTAATATATATTGACTATAGTGATTGTATTTGCCTACAATAATTGCACATACAGGGTTTGATATTGATTTGGCCAGCATCCTGGCATTGCTAGTTGACCAGAAAAAAAATTGGTGGTGGTGCCATGGTGCAGTCGTTCGGCTTGGGTAAACCATGCAAAAGTTGTACTTGACCAACAATTCCATTTTGTAGTGGACTGTAGTCCTTTCTTTAGCCTTTGTTACTACAGAATTGAAGGTCCTAGCCTCCTAGGTCATGTTAGTTTGTTCACTAGAATTTCATAAAGTCTCTTTCTTTTCCTGAGTTTTGGTTCAATGTAAATTGGTGTTAAGTATATGAAAGCCCATCTAATATAGGCCCATATGGCCCATGAGGCTCTATATATGTAGCTATCTCCACTACTGGAGTGATTATTTTCTCAAATTCCAGAGGTTTGTTACATGGTAACAAAGCAAGGTTTAGGGTCGAATTAGGGCTAGTCTGATCCCTAATCACCCTAGATCCATTTTTTCCAGTCGGCACACACCCTTCGCGTGTGCCGCCGTCTGTTGCCCGTCGCGGTTCCTCTGTTTTCACACGGGTCGGCCCCTCGCCGTCGTCCGCACATCTGCATCTTCATCACGCGTGGGTCTTCACGCACGGGGCCGTGTCGCGGGACTTTTTCGACCAAGACGTCAGTCCCGCACATCACGCGTGGGCATCTTCATCACGCCATCCCGTCTTCAAGGGCTCTGCAGGGCCATGTGCTAACGCACTTGACTTGTATCTTACTTTACCTGCACTTTTAATTTGGCTTTTATTTCAACACTATGTGGCATATCATCAAGTTACCTTCTTGTTGAACTTTTGATACACTTCTCATTACACAATCCACAAGTGTATACAATAATCTCAATTTCCTATTTAACACTTAGCAAACTTGTTAGACCTTTAATTATATTGTCATTCAATTCATCAAAACCCACTAAAGGGCTAGATGTACTTACAATCTTTCCCTTTTTGTGATTGATGACAACACAATTAAAGCTTACAAGAGATTGATAAATACTAAGATTTTGAATCCTATGATATAGTGAGCTCCCCCTAAATGTGTGCATAGAATGGAATTTCAAACTTTGGCCTCAAATGCCAAACGCACATATTCAAGATGAAGTGTGGGAACTCTCCTATATCTTAGCATCCGTAGGGTGTAAGGTGTCATCATGATAAACGTGATGCTCATGGCAGTTCATGCACTCAATAGTTCCTAAGGCTGTCATGTGCAGTACTTCCACAAGTGTGTGCGGCACTTCCGCAAGTGAAAACAAACAATACATTAAAGGCAATGACATCACACTAGCATAAACAGTCCTTATCAAGATCATCAATTTAAACTATCCTTGCACACATCACATAATAAAAATTGAAAAATCTTATATGCCTCCCTTTTACCCCTTTAAATCTACATATCAATCTCTCCTCCCTTACATTTTCTTCCAATATTTCTCCCGCTTTGGCATTAATCTCCAAAAGGATCTCTCCATCAAAAGAAAGAAATAATGGTAGACAAGTAAGGGCAAGAGATAGGTAAAAGTTTAGCATATATTATTTCTCTCATGAGTTTTCTACCAAACAAAGTATGTAACACTTTAAGTCAAGATTCTTGAGAAGTCAGCATATTTGGCTCATACCAAACTTAGATGACGCTTTTAATATGAGACTAACTCATGCCATCACCACAAGAGATATCACCCAAATATCTAAAGAATTCTCTAATCGTCACCACAAGAACAAACTCATGGTGTGACTCAAAATATTGCATGCACATGCACACACTAGCATGTAAGGGCCTAGATGCACAAAGGTAGTACAAGAGTTCATGGAGCGATATACCTTTGTTCTAAGCCTCATAATCTCCACCGTGATCATAAAATTTTGAATTTAGTGCTTTGATGGGCTTGGCACAATGCAAAAATACTTCATTTGTGCCAATCTCTCTTGGATGGGCTTGGCACAATGCAAAAATACTTCATTTGTGCCAATCTCTCTTGATCACAGGAGATATCACAAACTTGTGCTTGATTTCAATTGAAAGTCCATTGCTAGCTCTTGTTGCCATTTTGAGATACCAATTGAAGACATATTTCTTGATATACCAAATTGAGAGATTATTCACCAATACCAATTGAAATATGATCTTCACAATTTTGACACCAATTGAAAGAGTCTTCACAAGTTGATGCCAATTGTAATGGATTATTGTATCTCATAATGTCACCAATTTGGATTGAGTTAATGTAGCATACCCATGAGAAACTCATTCTCACCGAGAGACTACACAAATCACTAGAAGAAAAGGTTAATCTCAAAGACACAAGACATAGAACGGGCTCCCCCTTAATATGTGCATCAAGTACTCGAATTACTTGTGAAATACACTTGAATTGGTTTAAGAGTCAAGAGAAGTTCATCCTATATCTTGGTCAAGACATGATAAATTTGCAACAATTGAAATTATTCCAAGGAAACATACCACCACCAAGGTAGATAGATCACCACACAAATTTTCATCGATATGACCATCATAAGTGAGACTTCAATGATTTGGATGGCTATAGTTCTCACTTGATGAAATGTGGTAAAATTGAGCTCTTGTGATCATCCAGGATCCATATTAGGTTCCTAGTTCTTTCTTTACCTAAGGCAACTCACATAGAGAGCAAAAGGTAAAATTCATGAAATTTGCAAATTGTGAACTAGGAGTTACCACTCT